AATCACTTAAGAGCCATGGATAGAATTTCTGAGCTATGTGGAGAGGATGAAGAGGAAGCTGAACTCGACGCAAGCAAAGTTAAACGATTGTCTTCTTCAGTTATTTTCTTAAAGCAAGTAACATCTGCTTCTATTGTGAGAATATCTGTACTTTGAAATTGCTTCGTTTTAAAGTATTTTTTCTCTTTAGTTAATTTGAAATAAAAGTTCATCAGAGTCCAATGTTTATAGAGAATGGAGGCTCTTTAATTATGAACCAAGAGACGTTAACTTTGCTTGTGAACTGGGAAGCTCTGAGGGGAAAAAGGCTGCTAGTGGCATCAGCTTGCACCAATTTTCGTCAGCAATAGTTAGTAAGGTTAGTTCCTCAAAAAAAGCTTTTTGTTACTCATGAAGAACTTTTGGTTTCTTTTAATCAGAATATGTAATTGATTAATAGTGTGTACTATAATGCTGTAGAAGGAAGAACTATATGGGGATTCTTCATCTCTGAAATCGAGGTAATTTGCTTGAAATTTGATTACAGGAAAAAAAAAAGTTCGCACTTTTGAGTTCGTTAGTCTTCTAAAGTCTCCAATTTAACAGGTACCACCTACTCGAGCTTTTACTTTTGCGTCTAAATGTCTCATATCTGAGCTTCTTGTTGCAGAGACTTTGTTATGTATGCTGGAGGGCCTGTTTAGGGATTGGATTGGTGTCCAAGAGTCCATAAAAGTCCCGATTCTCAATATAAATGTGAGGTACTTGTTTTATTTGTTGTCCTAGCCCTTTTTTTTGGTAGATTTATTGGCTATTTTGAACAAGTATAGTGTTTATTCTCTTAGAATAATCTTTATATGTGCTCTTCTGCGCTTGTATACATAGAATTGAACGCAATTTCCTATCAACTATATAGCTGGCATATACATACATTTATGCATCTATATGTATAATCATAAGGTAGAAGTTTGATGATAGTTATTGAGAATTTTTATGGTATATAAGTACTTCTGTATTATGTATTTATCCATGCATATGGAAGTGTGTGTGCATCTTTGTAAATGTATATGTACGTACTTATGTATGCATATATAATAAGAGAAGCAATTATATGGCAATTTATTGAGATGTTTATGTAGGTCTTTCTA